CCTGGAGTGCGAATCCCGAAAATCGTCGAACCGCTTTCCCAGGGTCGACCATATGGTCTTCAAATCGACGGCTTCACTTACCCCCCAAAAGAACCAAGTTCCTTCTGGTTCGGCTTGGCTTTGAAACAAACCCAAACAGGTGTTTTTTTTGGTGGCTCTGTTTGTCTTCAAAACAAACCCCAAAAAAAGACAAGAAAAGAGTACCCTCAAAAAAAAGGACGCCCAAAGACCTTCATACGACATGGGGTCTGGGTTTGGGGCTACCTGTTTTCTTTAGTCTTGAGGTAGAAACTGCCGGTGGACGCTATTAACCCAGCTCACGGATCGCTTCTAAGGGTTAACTCTCCTTCCCATGGAATCTTCTCCAATGTAATTCACGAGCGAAGAGATTGACAGGAGAAGATGGAGATGGGGAAGGAAGAGGGTGATGGCTGTTGTCCCTTCCTTCGCTCGCCACCATCGGTTAGCCCTTGATTTGTGGCTCGCCAAGGATAACAGGTTCTTGAATCCCAAGAGCTCCTACAAAGGATTCTGATGGCACCTCATCTTCTCTTTACCTTGTACTATTTGGTGCCATCTATCCCTTGATCTTTTTGTTTTCTACCATTCTTGGACAACAGAAAGGCAGGTAATTAAGAGGATTTCATGCTGTTAGGTAAGTTCACGACCTTCCGTCTCTCGCGGTAAACGATAGATTCCTAACCCAACTTCCTCCATCTTTTTCTTATTATTATTTTCATATTTTAGTTTGCATTGGTTATTACATTTGGTTTCTTGTGGATGCGTTGCCCAGCTTGTGAACGTAGATATGAAGGGAAACGCAGAGAGAAACCAAATAAGAAAGAGAAATGAGTTCCTTTGTTCCACGTCTTTCCCAATCTTATGAATCTTCCAGGTCGTAAAAATCATTGTCATCTATTGTAGTTTCAAGATTCTATAAAAGCATTTTCCTTGATATTCATTCTCTTTTATTGTTTTATAATGTGTATTGTTGGCTTTTATTAATTTATCTTTCTGTATTCCTCCTCCTTTAGAATTCTGGAGTTTTAGAAGTTACGACATGAAGATGCAAAAAAATCGCAGCAAATAGAAAAGCAATAATATTTCATTCTAGATTCATTCTATCTTTACAAATATTCAATATCTTAGGATTTGGAACCCTTTCTTTTTACTAATCACTGTCTCTTCTCCAAATCCTTGAATTATTTGTATCTTTTCATTCATTTTCAAGAGTCTTTATTAATAGGCGAGATGGCATGACAAAGATAAAGATGCCATCCCTTTCTTTCACCTCACCAAGCCATAGAATAGAGGCTTGGAGGTGTAAGGAAAGTGTGTCTCTTGTCATCTCGTTCTCCAGACTGGCATAGGATCCGGTCAAATGCGACCATAAGAAAGAGATGGCTCGCTTCTCTGTCAGGCATTTGGGTCTCTGGGAATTAACTTGGATGACGAGAGACGGTGGAACGAGTGAAAGGGACGGAGTGAAGTGATGGGCGAAGGAAATCACCCAGTCTCTCCTGTCCCTCGCTCCCTTCGTCCGCGGCTTTCCAAGATACGACCAGATGGAATGACAAAGCTAAAGATGCCATCCCTTTCTTTCACCTACAGCATAGAATGGTGGTTGGGTGACAGGGTGATGAGAGAGGAATGTCCCGCCTCCAAGTCAGTCCTTATCACTCACTGTCTCTTGGTTGGGTCTTGATTACAGTCTGTCTTCATCATGTTCTTGCATTTGAGGATTCTCTCCCTTCGTCATTCCATTCCTTCCGTGCCTTTGTGTCTGGGATTTAGCGAATAGACGGAGGGAATGACAGCGGGAAATCTCTTGGCATACAATCTTAATCCAAAATGAGATGATAGACGACAAAAGGGAGGAGAGAAGCGAATGAAGGGTGAAGGCAGACAGGGATATCATTCGCTGAGGTTCCTTCTTTCCTGCTCTTGGGATTACACCGCCAGGCGAAGATACCAAGGAAGGGAAAGGAAGGGGATGGGAAGGACCAGCTCACTCAATCTTCATTCAATTGCTTGTCCTTTCCCTCCCTTTCAACCTCAGAGATGAACCGCTAGTACAGAAAGGTTCCATCTCCCAGTCTATTCAATCAACTTCTGGATGCGGGATAATCTCATGAACAAGCCACAAAGAAGAATCCAAATACCAAAATATATTTGTTTTATATTAGTACTATTTTTGATGTATTAATAATAAGAAAATAAAAATGAAATCCGAATTAAAAAGAAAGAGAAGGAAGATGAAGAATGAAAAGTGAGGTAACATGTAATCGTCATTATTCTTCCTTCTTTCTTTTACTTTTATTCTTATACAGATCTTTGCCTTTTTAATATTAATTGTGTGCAAGGAGAAGTCTCATGACCAAAGAGAAGACAAATGAACAAAAAGCAAACATAAATAATAAAAGACTAGAAAGATAAATAACCATAAGATTTCTATAAAATGCCAGTAATAAAGTTGTAGATTATAAAATATATGAATTTCCAAAATTCTAAAGTTTACAAAAAATAACATTGGATGAATGCAGCGCTTGGACTGGTCTCTAAGCCGGAAGGTAACTCAAGACATCTTAACTCAGCCCCAGATGCAACCATTATATTGGTGAGGGCTGAGGTGATAGAGGGAAAAGGTGGGTGTCCATCATTATCTCCCACCTTACACCTCCAAGCCTCTATTCTATGGCTTGGTGAGGTGAAGGGAAAAGAACATGAAAGGGAAAGGTGCTCAGGGTCTTGTTGTCAGGCCGTTGGCTTCCTCGTAATCAAGGATGACTCAATTTCTGTGAGACGAGGCAAGTGACAGTGAGGAAGTCCTTACACCGCTCATGCTGGACGGAACTTACCTGTCAAGGAATTTTGCTACCTTAGGACCTTTCCGTCGCTAACAGCCGCCGTGTGACTGAGGTGACGAAGGAATGGGCTCGCTCTTCATCATGTGTGCTCACCCATTGACAAGTTACCGCGAGCGAAGGCAGCGGGGAAATGGGTGAGTGAGGAAGGACATGCTTCTCTCGTCCACTCACCAATGAAGGTTGACCGTGTACTCGCGAATCATTCTCTGAGTTCAACCGCCAGTCAAGGAAGGTCCAACATTCCCATTTCCTTCTTTCCTGCTCTTGGGATTACCTGCCTGGCATCTTTGATTTGCAACCGTTACTTTCTTCTTTAAGCGGACGGAACTCCGAAAGGGCAATCGCCCAAAAAAGGAGATTCCTCTAAGTGGAGCTTGATCAATATTCGGTCGTCCCCAAAATGACCATGGCTAACTTTTCCCATGTGGTGAAAGTCAAATTGCTTTTTGTGGGTTTCCGTAGTGGTCCCATGTAAAGGACCTTTTGATGAACACCCAAAGTGCGTTTTGGGTCCCACGTGGGTTGGCTCGTCTTTTGTTGAGTCGGCACCCCTTTTTGGTGGGTTTTGACGCACCCATGTTAATCTACCGGGGCTGCAGGGTAGTCACCTGACCCAAGCAGGCACCCCTTGTCCTTCTCCCCTCCAAATTCAGCCTGAACTCGGCCTTGCTTTTGGCGAATTCTGCAGCTCATAATCCCGGAATTCAGATTCTTGGTTTCTGTTGACTCCTCTGCCAAAAGTTTAACTTTTCTTGGGTTTAGTGCAAAACCCCTTGATTTCCCAAAAGCACTCAAGGATTGGCCTGAACGAGAAGCACACAGGTTGTGGGGTTGGGGGGAATCGCAGCTTGGCCAGACTGGTCTGCCTAACGATACCTTGACAGCAGCAGAATATGCAGCTCTTCCGGTCACCCCTGAAGGCAACAAAACCAGGGGAAACCATCATGTAAAACCAAAAGGGTTACCGGGGGCAACTGGAAGCACTGCCCAGACCCCCTAGTGGCGATTGGAAAAAAGAGCACTCATGCTTGTAGTTGTTGATTTCAACTCACTTCTTCAGTGGATGGCTCAAAAAAAAGTCAGTTTTGTGTGTATGCCACTAAAATGTTCTTCGCAAAAAGTATGAAGTCCCTCATGGAGAGAACAGGCACCACAGGGTGTATTGGTGAAGGCTTCTATATGTGTCTTAGGAACGCTTTAAAACCTGCCCAAAAGGGAGACAAGGAGAAGCAACCCACGAGCCCAAAAAGTCAGTCGCGCCTGCGAAGCCACCTGCCCTCGTGCGGTTGGGCACCTCAGGCGTCGTGCTCAGAATTCCACCTGACTTCAATGAAGTGAAGGTTTTCAAGGAGGTTGCGACGTTTATAGTGTGCCGCGAGTGCTGTTGTTTGCGGCTGTTTGTGGCTGCTTGTGTTTGCTTGTGGCTGTTTGTTGCTGGTGGTTGCTGGTGGTTGCTGGTGGTTGCTGGCTTTTGTCGGGCTTGTGCAGGTGGCTGTGGGTTGTTTGCGGCCATGTGCTGTTGTGCTCTTGTGGCTTTGACGCGCGTGCGGCGAATTGGCAACCATTTTGTGCGGAAAAACAAGAGGTCAACCTCCGCCAACTACCTGACGGTTTATTCAAGCATTGCAGTCTTTCAAAGAGCGCTTTGTCATTGTGTAGACCAACTTCCAACATGGTTCTGTCCCAGTGGCCACAAAGAACAGGCCTTTGAAGCCACCCCAAAGCCAGGAAAACCAACTTCGACATCACTGGAAGTCTCTGGTGTGCTCCATCGGTTTGAGCTTTGCTAAGACCTGAACTCAAGGCACCATGTGTCAGCCGTTCCCCGAATGAGTTGCGTGTGTTTCGGTCCTTCAAGATTTGTCGGGCAAAGGGCAAAAGGCACCAGGAAGCTTCCAAAAGTGCCAGACGTTTTATGCCTTCCACCACCTCAGTGGGTGCTGGATTTCTCCTACACTTCATCATTTACTGATGGGTCCCATTGCAAAACAGTTTGCTTTACGTCAAAAGATTGGGTCGTTGAGGGAATCTATGGTGAATGGCTTCCACCTTGAGTCCATCAGGGCCACTCACCGAATCCTCAGGCGCTGAGCTATCCTCCGGCTCCCTCGCGACGCTCTCGGCGCCGGGCGGTCACGTCAGGGGAGCGGAGGGCGATGAAGAAGGTGCGGCTGGAGGAGCCTCCGACACTCCGCGCGGCGGAGAGCGCCAACTTTTTCAGGGAAACCCCATGGGGTGGCATCCCCAACCCTCGGTTTTAGCAAAACACCTTCCTTTGGCAGGCCCCCCCCGGAGAACAAAAAAAAATACCTTCCTTTGGCAGGCCCCCCCTGCCAAAAAGAAAAGACAACCAATGATACAGCCTGACAAAAGATGAACAGAACCAAACAACTATTAAACAAAGATGATAAGGGGTAGTGTCAACTGCAGACCAAAAGAGAACTGTCACACCTTGTGGGTCTCCACTACCACTTTTGGAGTTGAAACGTTCTTTTGGTTGAAAAAGAAGGGCAGGCTTAAATAAGAAACGATGGCCCGGCCGCCATTGAGGGGCTGATTTGTTTGCGGACCTTTCGAGGGACTTCCTGCAAGAGGCCAAGATCGGTCGATTCGTTGTTTTCGACCTCTTCCTTGCTTCTTGAGCAGATGTTCGCAAGATGCCGCAGCATCCAACAAAAGACGTTTCCCTGAAACATAACACTTCGGCAAACAACTCTCTAAAGTGTTTGTTGCCTAGGCACTCAAGTGGTCTTGCCCAAAACAAACAAGATTCACCGACCAAAACTCAAACCAGTGGGTATTCGGGTTTTACGTTAGGAATCTACGTAATGTCAGAGCATCTATATGTTTGGCTTGGCCCTTCTGAGGTGTCGTCTGGATTGGCAAAAGCCTTCGACCCAAGATTGCCTCGACCTTTTTTTCGTTTGCCCAGCCTCCGGAAAGGAATCCCACAACTAGACAGTGACCCAAACAAACACCCCAATCGAATTCTCATGGGTTCCCACCAAAAAGGTTCCTCTAAATACCTAAACACCGCTGTTGCTCTCTTGTTGCCTTCAACCACCGAAAGGGGGTCCGCATCCAAAAAAAATTGGGGAAGCTCCCACATAGGAATTACCAGGGAAAAAGGACCCCGAAAGGCTCCTGATAACCCCCGAAAGGCTCCCTCGTTCAAGGCAAGCTGCGGGTATCCTGGCAAGCCCCCCTATATGAGTATGTTGCCTTTTGCCGCGGGTATCCGTCTTTTGTGGCGACCAAAAAGAAACGCGCCGTTCTTGGGAGGCACTCCCCCCAAAAAAGAGAGAGAGAGAGAGAAAAATAAAAAACGAGGCACCCCTCTCCCAAGGCCAACCTGACCAGAAGCCCAAAAGACGACTCCCCACGGCTCCCACTCGAGCCGTCCTCGCGCCGACAAGGTGAGGTCCACCGCGCTGCAGCTGCTGAAGGCCGCCGTGGGGCCTTCGGCACCCGCTGTGACCCGCAGCGCCTGGAGGCTCGCGAGGGAAACCGCCAAGCATGGCAACCGCACGGGGGGTAAAAAGGGAGAAACGGTCGGAGTGCCTGAGTCTGGTGCATCACCAAGAGATGTTAAAGGTTTGGAGGAGAAGAAATACCGAGCAGCGAGGCTTCGGCGCAGGCTAAGCCAGATCTTTCCTGCCAATAGTGTTCCACCCTGGATCGGGGGGGGTTCTCCAACAAGTGAAGGATTCCCTATCAATGGGACAGTGCATGTCCCCACCAATCAAGCATGGGTTGACTCATCCTGGGCCAACGGATATACTGGGAAATGCACTGGTTACTGGTGCGTTACTGCCGTGCACCAAAAACACAAGACCCCCGATAGCCTATAAATCAAGTAGGCCAGGTATTCGGATGCCTGACTACATGACCTTAAGGTCATAAACCAAAGGACGCCCCTGGGGCCCCTGCGTTGATAAATTCAAACACAGAACCCTCCACACGTGGCTATGGGCACATGGGGTGAACCGGCGCCCCCTGTTGCTGACCGAGCCAGGAAAGTCGCTTCAAGCCCCAGTCAAACGCAGAACCTTTGACTGTGTCGTTTTGAAGGGTGCCCTCTTTTTTGTCGGTTTGAAGTAGGAAACCACCCTTTTGGGCGGTCCAATTCCTAAACAAAGACCCATGTAACCAACCACCCTTGCAAACAGCTCCACGTCAAACTGCAAACTGCCTCCGGTTGCTTTGACCCGTCGCGCATCAGAACTCCACGCGTACAAGGCACAGGGCTGAGCCAGCCTTCCGAACGCTCCAAAACGTCGCGAGCTTCTTACTCGCCACCTAAAATGGTCCAACCATCTTAAAAAGTGCCTAAAGTCCGAAACGGAGCTCAGGAAGTGAGCTTTAGCGAGGGTTCCCCTCCCAAAGTGGGGCACCACAACCCACGGCGAGGGGTCGCAACCCACTCGCCCAGCCGCGGATTCAAACTCTCCGCCTTGCCCTGGGATGGCAGCCAGGTGCCGTTCCGAAGGGCGAGGCCCTGGCAGTTTCTGGGCGCTGGGGGGGGTCTTCCACTGTGGGTGGCTCGTCAACTTGTTGAGGCGCGGTGCCTGTTTTTGTTGGTGGTGTTAAAGGCACGCCCAGGGGAAAACCGTGAAGCCAAGGGGTCCAACCTCAAAAAGGACAACCCATGTTGACCCCGGATCTAAGCAGAACCCATCCCAAGGTGTTTTGAATCTGTGTTTTCAGTGTGCAAGCGCAGCCCATGCTCCTCACGCTCGGTGTAGCAACTTCCGCCCTGCATTTCGTGGCTGAGGAACGAGTCCCGTGAGGAAGAATCCGGGGGGTACCTGCACAAGGGGGCAGCCAAACAAAGTTCGCCGCGATGTCCAGGAAAAGAAGGCCTGCTCATCGGGACTTGCAGCACAACCAGGTTCGAGTTGTCTCCGCGGAGCTGGCAGGCCCGGTCCGGGTTTCCAAAAACGCCCCGCACAAGGCTCTCCTCATTCACATGCAAAGCCCCGCCCTGTTGCACGCCCTGCTAAAGCGCCCGACATCCCGAATTCATCAACCAGCGGTGGGTGAATATGGCGTTTCCGTATACGCGGAACCCACCAGAAAGCTCCTTGCGGACGTGGCAACAACGACCGCTCCTAAATTTCACCAGGTTGCCCCAAGACCCTCGGGTAGAACATCGGTCCCTGGATAAGAAACCAAAGAAAAACTGACCAACGTTCCACCCTTGTGCCATGTGCTTTGATCAGGTTGCATTTCAGTTCACCATGATTTCCAACACCCATGGAAGTTGGAAGTGGAGGCTTGCTTCTGCCTGTTCAACGGGAGTCCTACAAAACCCGACACGGCCCTCTTCTGCGCCTTTTTTGGGAAGGTAGATGCTCAGCCAAACCTTTCGGATTTTCTCGCCGGCACAGCTCCCCGGAGAGTGATACGCTTTTGAGGGTGCCCATGCGTTGAGACTCCCGACCCAATCCCAAATGCACATGTGGCAAACACAGCCCGAACGCAGTGCCCCCACGGACGGATGCCCCAAAATATCGCAAGGGGAACAAGGAAACCCTGCGATGTGCAGTAATTTACCATGGCTTTGTGTTTGTGCTCTTCTTCCCAAAATGGGTTTGTGGGTTTACTTGCATTATGGTTTTGTGGCTGTGGCTTTCTGTTTTTGCCGGCATTTCTTTTGCCACTGTATCCACATACCCCAAACAACCGATGTTTCCCCTGTCCAAAATCCCAAGTACTGTCCGAAAAGCAGTGGGTGGGTGGTGCGGGGCTGGACTGGATGTTTTTTATAACTTCCCGGCTCTTCTGCTTTGGTTGGCTTTGTGGCCTTGTCAAGTTGCGGGGGGGGTGGGGCGGGGCTGGATGGCTTTTCTGTTTTCTGGCGGTTCTTGTTGCCCTTCTGGCCCTGTCAAGTGTCCCCCTTCTATTTCGATTTCTCGCTTCTTCCCGCCGATGGCTCGGATGTCTTCCACCGCAAACCCCGCGCCTCGGCGCCCTCCACCAGCGCCTCGCCGCCGTTCGGCGCCTCGCTCGTGGAGATGTCGGGGGCAAAAAACGGAGAAACACCCCGGTGCTGGCGAAATATCTGGGTGTGGGTCAAAATTAAACCAGGCTATGGACCACAGATTTTAGCCCATGCTTCCTCAGGGCAAGCCATTTTGGGTACCTATTTTTGACCCACAGCCATCTCAGTTGCCCCGTTCAGGGACGAGAAAAACGTGGTAATTTTGCTGGACCATGGGGGATGTCCTCCAAAAGGAGGTTGGCAGTACCTTCTGAACTTCTTGGCCACAGGATTTTCTTGGGTGGCAGTGGATGTGCTTTTGCGGGAGTTGGTTGATCTCAGTTGCCGCGTACAAAAACGAGGAAAAGTGGTGGTGGATCACCTGCCATGCTGTCCAAAAGAGAGACACCCCCGCGAAATCGAGTACTTGGGTTTTGTACTTGGATGCACCTTCTACCACTTAGCCCATTCAGTTTTTGATACTTTGTCCCCTTTGCCATGGCAACCACCGGAATGATGGCTCGTTTTTGGGGCCCACCTCAGCGCAACATGGTCTTCCACCCCTCAGTCAGGATCCACGTTGGTGGACAGAGTAGTTGAGTTTAAACGGAAGCCCCCTCCAAACTAGTCTCAGGTGATATCCCCAGCATTCAGAACTCGGAACCGGAGCCTTCGACCCAGGCGATCTGGGCATCTCTCGATCCCAAAGTCTGGCTTCGGGAAAAAGTTGAACAAATGGATCTGCACCAAGACTAGCCCAAAGGTGGCCCCAAAGACACATTGATCCATCAAACCACTGTTACACGCTGACCCGTTTTTCCAACCTGTCGATTTAGACGCCTGTAACTCTTGGCTACTTGCAAGACTTGCAATAATGCATGGGTCCCATATATGGCGATGTCCAGTGCTTCCAGGCGTTTCGCCACTGGTAGGATATTCCGTAAACCAGTCGGGGGGGTGAGACGCCAAAAGGGTTGCCTATGGTGGCACTTGGAAGGACTGAGATGGATATGTAAGAGTGAACTAGGAAACAACGAGTGGGGCAATTGTCTGCAAAGATGGATCCGTTGAAAGCATCCTGTCATTATTGATCTTGACTGCCTAGTGGGGATGGTGGTGGACGAATTGCGCCAGGCATAGGGCAAGTCGAACTAGACCCCTACCTTCAACTAGTAGTTTGCTGGAGCGGAATATGTCTGCCCTTCAAAAGCGAGCCTCAAACGAAGACCGCGCTCCGTCCAAAACAAACAACAGCCATACCAACTTGTGCCTGGCTCGTCTTTCGACACCTGCCATGTTGCAACCATCTTGCGATCCGCTCAGTGGGTAAGTGGGCAAGTGGGCAAGTGGGCAAGTGGATAGATCCATGTCTTGCAACCGTTTCTATTTGTTCCTTCAACCCAGTTTCAACACCCAAGGGCTCCCTTGGTCACCTTCCAATGGGTGGCTTGGCTTGGTGGTTTGCTTCCAGTTCAAATCCCCAAGCCGTAACTTCGCCATTCTTTTCAGCCATCGTTCTTTTCAAAAAACAAATCCATGTCCAACCAGGGTTTTTGGGAAGGTTTTCTAGAAAGATTCGGATCCCTGAAAAGAATGGGGGTTTAACATCCCGACTAGAATCCCGACTAAAACAGACTAAAATGGCTGGTGTACATATATGTACCCCAAGATGGGATCCCATTGGGTTTGACCCACACCCAAATCACCAAGCCAATCCAAATCACCAATTTAAGGGTTACTCGGTTGCTTTCTGCTCCCCTTCTAGAAGTTTGTGACTTTTAGCGGTTTAATACGGAAAACCCATTCCTTAGCAAAAAGTTATTCAGTCCTAGCATCCCTTGGCAACATGCACCAAAGCAATGGTCCACCGGAGCCATGCACAGAATTAACAAGGCGGCGAGGCCGCCCTTTTATGGTTGGGTGTATCTTTGACCTTACCCGGGTTTGGATCGCGGGCTCTTTGCTCTACCCAAGTTTATAGTGGATCAGAATTAACCCCCTCTTTGCTCTTTGGTTCCCCGGGTGTTGATCGTGGAGATCAACCAATAGAAATTTCCAGGGGTCTGGCTTGACTTGGGCCCCCCCCGCGCCTCCTCGAAGATCTGCAGGTACAGCCGCGGCAGCGCCACCAGCGAGCTGCCCGTGTCCTGAAGTTTTGAAGACCCGCGCGGTTTCGGTAGGCTGGGGGGAAGTGCCCCTGGTGGGTCCCAAATGGTTGCGGTTTTGAGGGACCTGTTCTCCAAGTTGTTATATAATTTCCCCGGGGGGGGGGGGTGTGGGGTTGAGTACTGAATATAGATTGGAGGTCCATATGCTCTGCAGCCCCAAGTGCTAAAAATAAAAAGAACCAGAGAACAAAAAGCGAAACAACAAAAGGACGAGGCAACCAAAGCGTGCCATTCGTAAACTGGAAACACAAAAGGTCAACAACTGAGATTTAGACATCGGTAAAGGCTTGGTGGCTAGGAAATATGCCGGGTTGAAGTCCGTTTAAATGCTCTCCACACCCCTGTAACATGAACCCCAGCCTAGCGTAGTAGTACAGTTGGGTGACACCTCTAACTTTGATCGACATTCATATGCCAAGAAGGGGGTGCTCCAAACAAAACGACTTGGTCCCCAAAACAACTTCCCATGCCAAGAAGGGTGTTTCCCAAAGATAGGAATTGGTCCCATTTTCTGGCCTCATTATTTTACCATGATCAAAGTCACCCCCTAAGTGGTGGGTTAAAGGGAAACAACCACATTTTCTGACTTTGATAACCCCCAGAAACCGTCAAAATCATGACCCCAGATTTTGGTTTCCTCTTCATGCCATTTCAAGGGATGGACCCAACATCCATCGACCCAACCGCGTCGGCACAGCGCTCCGATTCATCTCCGCTGGGCCGCCAGCCCAACGGGATACAAAAAGAATATAAGATCCTGGCCCATCTCTGTGCATATGTATGTACGTATATATATATATATATATGTAGGGGCCATACGTATGCATGTATTAATGCATGTATGCATATATGCATATATGCATATATGCATTTTACATGCATGTATGCATGTATGCATTTAGGCATTTAGGCATGTATGTATGATTCTGAGGAAACCAGATTAGCCACTTTCTCCCGCTCCTCGATGCCCCAGTTGTCGGAGTTGAAGGCCAAGTGGAGGCGCACCGTAGTCCCCGCAGCCACCTCAACCCCAAGCCCCGCAGGAAACCCCGGGAGGCGCAGACTTTGCTCGGTTCCATAGGGAAATGAGACTTGGAATGCCCCCGAGAAAAACAAAAACCATCCAACTGGTGGTTTCAATCAAAGTGTTGTTTTTTCCGGCTGACCCATTTTCTTAGGGCCATTCGGATTGCGAGGACTTCTTCCCCGACCCAAACCGTCCACGCCCAAAGCGATCCACCGCCCCACCCCGATCCAACGACCAACGCAAGCCGCGGCGCGCTCACCGCGGCGCCGGGGAAGGGCCCCTGGCGCCCGTTGAGCTGGGCGTCCGCGGGGTGGTAGCTGGAGCTGGCCGTCAGCACCTCGGCTCGTGGGGCCGTGGGGCCGTGGGGCCGTGGGGCCGTGGGGCCGTGGGGCCGTGGGGCCGTGGGGCCGTGGGGCCGTGGGTCGGAAGCGGTGCGAGAGACGCGGGGAACGAGACATGGAATGACCTCCATTTGGTTAAGACCCCGGGATAAAATTACAAAAATGTCCAGTAGTCAAATCGATTCCTTTTAAAACCAGCAGGGGAAAATAAAGCATATTCTTAAGCAAATGGAAGATGACGAGCTTGGTCGTTGCCGCTTGTGCCCGGGTGCCACAAGCCGTCCATATGGGTACTGCAAACCAACCAACCAACCGAGAAAAAGCATCCAACTGGTGGTTTCCTTTCAGGGGACCAATTCCTGGGTTCATTCCCGCTGACCAGCAAGCTTTTTCGGATGCGGCTACCGGTCCCACAAAAAAAAGACGTGGAACATGAGGTTCGAGACCCGGTCCCTTTAAAAGGAAAATGGTCTAATCGCGACCGGATGTTGTCAAGGTCCTGCTTTTTGACTGCCCCAAGATAGAGTTAAACCCGGTTCTCCTTGTGGGTCCTGGGTTTAGGTCCGGGGCAGTCAAAAAGTGGAACTCTGGATGTGGAACCCTCCCACAAATATGACGTTCTGGACGTCACCTTCCAAGTCAAAAGGGTGGGAACCCTTTTTGGATTGGGTTTTAAGTGGGCAACCACAAGGAAAACCCCAGCTTAGGGGCATCCCAAAAAAACAAACACCCTCATATCCAGGCCATCTGACATAAAGAACAACATATTTCCCGACTCTGCTTCAAATTTGGTCCACCTTGCAAATGGTTTTGGAGATCCCCCTTGGGAACCTGGATCAAACTCAGCATTCCTGGCACAGAAACCATGATTCACGTGAGGAGTGTTGAGCATGGCTCGTATGGGCGTGTGTCAAAATGGGATTCGCAAGCCTGGCGTTGAGCTGTGAGCGGCTGTGACGTGTAAGTCCACAGGAAAGGATCCGAGGGAATCAACTCTGGTTTGAACTGAGGGTCTCTCGGTACAGGTTAAGCCTATTTTTTTATGATTAGAAATGGGGTTGGGGGGTACTTGAAACCCAAACTAAGTCCTGACCACAAGATTATTGGGTGTATAATCACTTAGCCCCGTGTCTTACTTGGTCAAGCATTTGCGCAGGCCCCTAGTGATGTCGCTACTTGCCCTACTGAGGGAGACTCATCTTAAATTAAATTCCCAAAAAGGTGACGCTTAACTTGGTTGACGTTGGAAGGGGAGCAAAATTTAAATTTTAGCAGTTAAGTGGGGATTTCCACTAAACCACAATAAGCAAAAGGGTAAAATGTTTCCCAACGACAACCATGTCAAGCCCTCCAGAAGTCGAAATGTAGGGACCGCCAGCTATGTGGTTACTAGCCCTGGTTGTAAGCCAAACCGGGACTTAGCACCGTGGCTTGGTGGGTAATTAGCCATGCAGGGTCACTACCTCCTTAGCGCCCATCTAAATCCTCGAAGAAGGTGATCTTCAAAACATCTGGGGGCCCCTCGCTAAAGATGATGTTTCAAACCCCAGTCCAAAAATCAAAGGTGATCACCATTTTGGGACCACAAATTGTTGCTTCCGGGAAGGCACTCGATCCGATCACCTTGGGGTCCCCCAAAAAAGACACACCGGAGGTCTGCGATGTCCACAAGTCGGTTCGCTTTGGCCCCCCCAAAAGTGCACGCATGGAACCCCCCCAAAATGGCCCTTTTCAGAGCAACCGGCCTTCCACCCCAGTGATGTTTAACACCCCTTTTCGGGTCCTCTCCAACCCTTGGTCTAGTAGCAAAAAATACAAAGTGTTTGCAGCCAACAAAAAATGAAGAGGGCCTAAAACACGTATTAAAAAGCAAACATGTCAAAAACAAAATGGTCTACCAGAACCACGTACAGAATTAACAAGGCGGCAAAGCCACCCTTTCATGGTTGGGTGTATCTTTGACCTTCATCTACCCGGGTTTTGATCGCGGCCCTTTGCTCTCCACTGCTGAAAGTAAACAAGAGACCCCAAAAACCTTTATTGTTTATGTCTTATGTATCTATATCTATTATTATTATTATTATTATTATTATTATTATTATTATTATTATTATTATTATTATTATTATTATTAATAATAATATTATTATTATTATCATTTCTATTACTATTACTATTATTATTATTATTATTATTATTATTATTATTATTATTATTATTATTATTATTATTATTATTATTATTATTATTATTATTATTATTATTATTATTATTATTATTATTATTATTATTATTATTATTATTATTATTATTATTATTATTATTATTATTATTATTATTATTATTATTATTATTATTATTATTATTATTATTTATTATTATTATTATTATTATTATTATTATTATTATTATTATTATTATTATTATTATTATTATTATTATTATTATTATTATTATTATTATTATTATTATTATTATTATTATTATTATTATTATTATTATTATTATTACTACTATTATTATTGTTATATTGTATTATGTTACATTATATCATATTATATTATATTATATATATATATATATGTTATCTATACATATTACGGACAAAACCCATGCCAACAACCGCGCAAGTGCCGCCCCCTCTGCACCGCTTCGGCCCATCGATCCCTCGCTTCGACCCATCGCGAGGCGCCACGTCCAGCGGCTCCGAGCGGTGCACCGCGGCGCCGAGCCAGCGCAGCTCCGGGGGGCCGCGGCTGGGCCCCATGCCGCCGAGGTTGTTGATCACCACCTGCCGAGAGAAATTAAATGCACCGTGTCCCGTATTCCCAGCCCCTCGCCCCTTCACATGGTATGGTCTTTTCAGGGGGCCCCCTCCCGGGACCCCGCCAACCACAACAAGAAACTTGCAATGAAGAGAAGCTTGCAATGCTCATAGGTGGCCTTTTTGGGGAAATAGATGGGTTTCCTGGGAAATGGAAAATAAACACATCTAAACCCGGGCCCTCTATTTCTTAAGCAAACCAACCAAAAAGGACACCTATGGGAATGCTGCCAAGAGAAATTATATAGGGCACCGTGTCCCGTGTTCCCAGCCCTCACATGGTATGGTCTTTTCAGAGGGCCTTTTCCTGGGACCCCGTCAACCACAATGAGAAACTGGAGAAACTTGCCTAGGTCCTCCAGATTTGAGAGATTAGAATAAGGGTACCAACTTTTTTCTGTAGTCTATTTTAGTCGGGGAGCCCTCCCACAAAAAAGGGTGGAAGGGCACTACTTGCAATGCTCATAGGTGGCCTTTTTGGGAAAATAAATGGGTTTCCCTGGTAAATGGAATAACCCCATCTCTAAACCAGGGCCCTGTATTTTTGAAGCAAGCCGAGGTTGTTGATGACCACCTGCCGAGAGAAACTCGCAATCAACCCCTAGAAGGACGGGTGGTTCCCTTTTGGTTTCCCTTTTGCCAACCCAAAAAAGGTCACAAGACTCCCAGTTTGAGACTAGGTCCTCCAGTAGAGAGATTAGAATAAGTTGGTACCCTTTTTTTCTCTGTAGTCTATTTTAGTAGGGGAACCCTCCCCCAAAAAAGAAACCGTTAAAGGGCACTACTGGGGGACCTAGTTGTAATGCTTCTGTGACAGATTGTCTATCAATTATACCTGGAGCAGATTCTATGGCCCAAGGATACTGCAGATGTTTCAGAGGTTAGACGTGCCTGATAACGATGTCGTTCACGAAAGGAAGGCTCATCTTCGTCATGCGAAGCACACGTTGTAAAAACAAACGTGGGAAACCGTGAGGGACGAACAAGTTTGTCTGAAAGAAGTGCTCAACCCATCCTTTCAGGAGTGTCTGAGCCTTGCCCGAAGGTGTAAAGACTTAAGTCCCATCCAACCGCTTGGGACCGGCGGCTTTGAACCACCCTGGGGAAACCAAAGCGCAAGGTTTGTCCGAAGGGGAAAGCAAAACCTCGTAATGTGCAAGTTCAACTTCTTGCAGGTTTAATGGAAAACCCGCAAGGCTTAATGGAAAACACCTCCCAACTTGTGTCTTCCTTCTGGTTTGCCACCAGAATCCGCCGAGTGTTCCGCCTTCGAGGGCTCCAGCGCGAAATTTGGGCCCAGGTAGCCCTGCACCAGCGGCTGGCGCACCCACTGCGCCTCGCCCGGATTTCGTCGCTGCGGCGGACATCCCGGCGGCGGGCGGTTTTCAGACGTCGATTCGAGGGAGGAGTTTTGGGCCAAAGGAAACCTGAATCAACCGCCCCGGCTTTGTGTGTTTACACCCGCAACAAACGGGACATGTTTTGTTTTCAAAAGGACAGAAAATTAAATGACAAAAAATATCTGGAGAAGATAAGTCATTTCTATCTTCTACGTGACCAATCAACCATTAAATATCTAGACTTTCTTGCTTGTCTCAATTCAACCCGGCCTGAAGGGTGCGACGTAACTTAAATCAACCGGTTTCCTAACAGCCAGGAACCCCCATGGAAGTCCTCTTGGCCCATGAAAAAAAACACCCAGTAAAGGGGTCCTCCGTTTTGAAAGACCGAAGGCTCTGCTGATTCTATAGGCCACACCATCCCAGCGGCGCACGGCACAACCCAGGTCGGCACAAGCCAATTTGACCAAACTCGGACAAAGATCCAATGTACAAACCGCCGGGCAATAATGCGGCGCCACATCCACAAAAGGGCTCACGCCTGTCTCATCATTGGCAAGTGTGTCTCATCAAGGGCCTCTGGCTATCATGCAAAACGACTGCCAAGTCAGAGCTCTCATACACACTGTTGGCATGACCAGACACACTCGCAAGGGCAAATCGCGGATCCTGATCATTCGCCCCAGGGCATGGCCCTGCAAAGAGTCCAGCCAAAGGGAGACCGGCAAAGCGGCTGGACGAAGCAGCTCTGTAGCGCTTTGGACAGCCACGAACCACAGTTCACCACCTGCTCCCATTTGGAACCAGAGCCAAAAGATGAAGCGCGAGCCCGCATCTCATCCAAGCTCTGGATGTCCCTGAGCACAAGCAGCTCATAGCCATCTGAGCCAAGGTGAACTTGGCCCTGCTGACACAAGGCAGTTGTGGGCGTTATACCGCGTTGCTCATCAATATTGTATCCAGTGTCGCTGAGAAACCCACCCCAACGTTTTTTCTTCTTTGCCATACAAAAAACCTGGTCCTCCCAAAAGGTAAGCTTACTTAATTTGGGAAGTGAGATCATGAAACGGGCAAAAATCCGAGGAGGTTTTTACGCCATGTGACCCACCCAACTTAGTTCCCCGCCTCCGGAGCGGTGGTGGTCACCGCGCCTCGCATGAGCCCTGGCGGAAAGGTCCAGTGACTCTGCCAGAGGAAGGGAACCCGTTTTGACACGAAGCGCAATCTGGGTCGAATGCGAACCCGAGAGTTTCAGCGGCAGCATTTTTTGCTGGGGAAGCCTTTCCAAAAAAACAAACAGTCCCACTGAACTGGCTTCACGCTTGGTCTCTGATGTGCTTCTTGGGTGGGGATAACAACAGGAAGGCTACTTAAGGGGTCAACTTGAACTCTGGCTTGACCCCCAAACAATCGAATGTTACTAGGGCGAAGGTTTGTCATTTCCCACAGAGTCAACATATTTTTGTTGGCCCAAGAGCAACTGAAAGCAGACTGCTCCAAAATCCCTCTACACAATTCGGGAACCCATCTCTCAAAACAAAGGACACCGATCACGGAAGGTTCAAACTTTGAAGGCCAAATGGGAGTTGATCAAAAGGTCTGATGACCATTGTTTGGAAAACCACGAGACAGATATGCTATTTCAGCGCCACATGGGAACAAACACCCATGGTATCTTAGGGGGGAGGGGGGAAGGGAATATGCTTCTCAATCCGCAATTAACCCTCCCGTCTTTGGGAGAAGGAAACACGAGACGAATCCAAAGCGGCGTGGGCGCTCTAACCCAGCCTTTTGCTTGCTTGTTTTTTAGACGAATGCTCTGTTCAAATGGAGTGGGATGTCAATCCCAATCAATTCTTTCAAGACCCCTTCCAGAACCAAACGAGTACCCAGTGAAATACATCCACAAGGATGCCCTTTGAACTGGGAGAAGAAAATGCTTTCGCCAATCCTAATAGTTATTGCAAAGCCACTACGGTGCCCCCTTCCGGAACCCAGGGTAATGTTGACCCCTGATCAATGCAGTTTTCAAAAAGAAGACTACATCAGGGTGGTTCCTTTTTGGTGGTTGGATTCCCTTCTTCCAAAAACAAAAACGAGTAATCTCCGTTGCTTTCTGCTCCCCTGCTAAAGGTTTATTTTTTAGTTGTTTAATGGAAAACCCATTGCCTGGCAAAAAGTTAAAGTCCCACCATCCCTTGGCAAAATGCACCCGAGCAATAACAGGGGCTATTCATCAGGGGGTCAAACATGAAGGATCCTGCGGACCCAACGGAGCCGCCCGGTGAAGGGATAGCCCAAAGGGTCTGGAGGCAGACAGGTCCCGCCTGGCAAGCGCGCTACATGAGGCGCCTGGACGCGAAACGGCGCGGCGAGGCTTGCATCGAATGGTGTCAAACGTGGGACATAAGACGAGTGGTGGCTCCAAAAGAAAAATCATCCCAGTTGCTGACCTTGATGACCCCTAGAAACCTTCAATATGGGCCCAGAATCGGGTAATTCGCAAACGGCCAGAACCACCATCCCCTTATAAAAGATTGGCCAAAAGAGTCACAATCAAATCCCATAAATGGGTGCCTTTTCAATTCCTTGCGGTTCTGGGTAGACATTTGTATGCCGGGGGTTGATTCTGACTCAGGACAATGTCTCGTCAAGCACAGGACGTGGGCCCCTTATTGGGTGGCCCCCGATGTTTGTTCTTCGAAGGGTGGCCTTCCCAAGACGAAGCATCGACTCCTGTTCTTCCCTGTCAGGTAAACAGTCGGGCTTTGTTACCATCTTTGGGCTTTTTCAGCAAACCAAACGAAAAAACAACCCTCCCCCCCCCAAAAAAAAAGAAGAAGAAAAGGACAGCTGGGGGGCACGGCTCGAACTTTTCCGGCCACAAACTCCCTCCGACCCAACAACCCCCGCGGCCACCCCGCCCTCCGCCTGCGTGGAGCTCCGCCGCTCCGCTCGGCCGTCCGGGAGGAGCTGCGGGGCGCGCAGCGCCAGGAAGAAGCTCCGGCCCTGGCTGCCGATGCTGTTGCCTCGCGCGCGGCGCGGGAAGGAACTGGATGGACAAAAACCGGTTGCTGCAGCGCGCTAAAGAAACCAAAGGATGCTAGCACTGGATGCAGCGCTTGGGAGAAAAAAAAGAGCAAAGGGACCAGTGGAACTGGATTGGAATAAAACTTGGCGCAGGGACTTGATGGAACTGGATGGAAAAAGGGATGCAGATGGAACGCGGGCTGGAAGGAACTTGATAGAACTTGCATGGCGAGAGGGCGGTGAAGGAACTTCATGGGAATCATGCGGGTCAATTCCCGAACGTCCGATTTGTCTTTTCTTGTTCAGGATATCACTGTTTGGGCTTTTGGGGGTGAGGTTTGAAGAAAAACTCTGTTGTGGCCCGACTCAAACGCCACTGTAAACCCGCTTTTTAATCATTCGCTTGTGATTTTTAAGGTTGGACTCAATCAGCTTGGAAAGCCACCCAAGTCCGTTGCAACTATGGACAGCCAGGTGTGATCAAGGTAACTCTATGGCCACGTCTTAGGGGACCCCCAAAATAATGGTTGCCTTGTGATTCCCCCGTTAACACCACTAAAATATGGTACCCTCAAAAAAGCCACACCATTATACAGCTGGAAGATGTTTGCGAGTACGGACGGACTTGTGCTTATTCTGAGCATGATCCCCATGTTAGTTCAAGTAGGGTATGACCCTTATGATAAGCACAACTGGCTCCTTAATTCGTTTGGTTCAGAGGCAAAAGCCCCCCCCCCATTCTGCACCCGCATCCTAGGTCTGCAGGTCTGCCGGGCCCCGGTCCCCCGGTCTGCCGCCGCCCGACTTCGGGCGACTTCGATGCAACCATTCTACGGGGAAGTCTTGGTTTTTGCCGGGTAGTTGCTAGGTCCTGCAGAGAGCTTAGAATAAGTTGGTACCCTATTTTTTCTGTAGTTTATTTTAGTAGGGGAACCCTCCCCCAAAAAAGAAACCGCAAAAGGGCACTACTGGGGGACCTAGTTGGCAAATTTGGGGGGGGGTAGACTTTTGTTTGTTGGTTTCTATGAAACTGAACCTTGGCCCTGACTTCAAGCGTGCCCAAAACACCCCGCTTTAGTTGCCCTGCGCATCCCCTCTCAAGCGTTGGCAGCCACCCCCACCCCACCCATCCGCCCTAAACGCCAATCCACCCCCACCCTCCGACCCAATGATATGGACATTTAGTGTAGAACGCACAACCCTGAACAAACATCTTGCGAACAAAAAACGATTCTACCATCCCAAAATAAACTTTAAACCTAAAAGGGGACCCTGAAAGACCATGTTGCTCTACCCCTCTTGCAGGTTTCATGCTTAAGGTTGGAAGATGTAGCATCCACCTGCTACAGACCCACAATTCCTACAAGGGCCTACATAGATGGAATTGGGTAACGCAAATCATCTCATCATCATGAAAGCGCAATAGTTGCCATCATTCAGCCCCTTGCAAGCACCTATGACGAACAAGTAACTCTTTTCACCCTATTACCCATCTCGGTCCACCTTAGCCCCCCCAACCTCCCCCCCCCGGCCCATCTCCCCGTCCCAACGTCCCAAGGTTCCAGCGCCTTGGCCCGCGAGGGCCCGCAGCGTGAGGTTCACGCTGCCGCCCCGCAGCGCCAGCAAGGGCGAGGCCCCGGCCGGCGGGCGGAAGGCCTGAAGACCCGACCCCGGAGATCCGCAGCGGGAGCCGGGGAGGGGGGGGGGGGGGGCAAGGCGGTCCCAAACGAACGGGTGGGGCCAGTAGCGCCTGGACGAGTTCTGTTCGCTTTTGGTAGAGTCTTACTAATTATGAACAGAACCAAACACAAAGAGGGAAAACTGAAGCACGTGGCCAAGAAGAGTGAGGAAGGTGGTGTTTGCTTGTGGGGAAAAATGTGTTTGAACAAGACCAAAAGAAGGAGGCCAAGGCTTTGGGATTAAGGTGGTTTCACCTTGAAGACCAACCAGGTATGCATGAAAATCCAAGAACGACCGGATTTTGAGAGAGATCCGGATCACCACCGTTCGAAGGCGAGTGTCTCCGGGATCCATACACCAATTACGACTTTGTTTTGTGGTTAGATGTGGCCATGAATTTTAATAAGGGACCCTTTGGTCGACATCTTTTAGGGGATTCATGTCCACCAATTTCACTTTTGAGGTGGTTCCCTATGATTCATGGCCATGTGGAGAGCTCACAAGGGAGAATCCACGGAAAGGGCTTGAATTGCGGACGCCGGTTTCGGCTTCTCAACGGAAACATAAGAAATGACATTCACGTCAAGGTTTACCTGATTTTCAGACCAATGCATCCCAAGATCGGCTTCCTTCCAAGTGGCTTGGCTTGCTGGGTTTGGTGGCTGAGTCGTTTCCCATTTACCCGCAAGAACCAGAATTCCCAAGTATCCCCAGTTCCACTCCACACCACTTGAGGGAAACCTGACTCACCCAGACAGAGGAACCCCCCCCAAACAAAAAAAAGTAACCCGCGGGTGTCCAATCCCCAGTTCCCAATCCAAAACCGGTTGCACCTGGCCACCGATCCAAACCCGCGGCCTCCGCCGGCCCCAGGTCTCGCCAGTGGTGCCCTGGAAAGCGCACCGCCTGGCGCCCACGAGGCGCGCGCTGGGGTTTGGCGGGGCTGGCCAATTTGACCTTTGTTGGGGAAGCATTGGAAATTAAATGGGCCTCTCCTCAAAAAATAAAAAAAAGGAAAAAAAGAAAAGAAAAAACGCGTGACAGCTGGGGTTTGCTTGTTCAGGCTTTTGGGGAAGCAAAGGGACCCGTTGATCCGAGGGTTGCTACTCTTCGTTCCGGGGTCCCAAGTGTATTTCCCAGGCGCCCAAAGGCAACCTTTGCAGGACAAGAGTCAACCTGCAAAACGTGGATCCGTTTTCTGAGGGCTTGGTGTTTTTGCAGAGAAGGAACCCTGAGAAGGGGGAAAGTACAGCTACACGTTTGCGGGAAGGACCAAACATATCCCAAAACCGCCGAAAGTTGAACAGGTCGGCGATCCTGGCAATGAAGAAATGGTCCTTGGGAGTCCTGAAGCTTTTTTTGTTGATACCCTTCTCATTTTCGCAACCAAAAGAACACCAACTGCTTCAGCCCCCCCCCCCCCACCCCCCCACCCCCAACCCGGCGGTTCCTCCAATCCGGCGGCCCAACACTCATCTTCCCGAATGGGCTGAGAATAAAGGAAGTCCTCAGGGCTCCTATGTCCCCTTTCATTTTTAATTCCAAGGCCCAAAAGATGTTATGTCAAAGCCTCCAGAAGAAGGCATCTGGGGACCAAAATCCAAAGTTGACGAAAAGGTGCGAAACTGGCAACTGCCAAAAAAAAACACTGCCAACTGCCAACTGCCAACTGCCAACTGCCAACTGCCAATTCAGAAAGTCAAAACGAAGAAAAAAACACGAAAAGGTGTGCGGCAACGCCTTCCGGCCATCCGGGGTATTTGCTGCCCCTTCTATTACAAGGGGCAACTAATACCCCATATAATATATGCAACCCTCCCACCAATTCACATGGACATGTTTGGTCCCTTTAAAAGAGAAATGGTCCAAACTACCCCCCCCAAACATCAATTGGTGGGTATCTTAAGGTCAAGTCAGGTACCCTCTATCACGATTCTCATGATGCCAAGTCCCGTAAAAGGCTTCCTTGACTCCCTCTCTCTCCCGCTTTTGCGGATTCTTAGACCTCACCTGTTGGTAGTGTCAACTGCGGATCTTTGGAGGGGGCTTCCAAAAGTTTCGTAGTGTCCTGGACCTTCGGGAGTTGCAACCATATTCACCAAAGCTTAGGTTTCCCTTCAAGCAATCCTTGCCAAGCAAATCGTGGTCCTTTCTCCCGGTGGAAAGCGCCAAGCAAATGGATCCCTGGAAGCGGAAACGAGTTGAATTGCTCCAGATGGCCGGCTTCGTCTCCATTTACTTTCTGCTCAAGGTCCTCTCTCTTTCTTGTTTTCTTTCCCTCTCTCTCTCTCTCCCTCTCGCTCTCTCTCCCTCTCTCTCGCTCTCTACGGCTACCTAAGGAACTGAGGGCTGAGTTTCGGACACCTCCCAAAACCCTGAAAGCCACAAGACTTTCATGTGGATATCCCTGAAATGGGTACTCCTTTTCGGGGGGCCACTTGATTCTACTGGAGTTTTCTCGCCCAAAAGAGTTTGCCGCAAGGTGTCGCGACCGTTTTGGTCTTTCTCATCCGATTCTCCGATCCGAGCGAGCCGATCCGACCTGCACGCCGGAAACCAGCACCTCCCCCGCCGACGACAGGCCATAGAAAGGATCCTCCGGCGAACCGCAGATCCGAGGCAGTGCACAGAATTCGAATCCGAGATTCTTCCCCTTTCCCCCCGATTTGAAGGGACACTCACTTTAAACTGGCAAGGTCCTTGAATTGAAGGAAACACCCTTTTTGGGAGTATTGAATGGAAGAAGCCACAGTTCTTTGGGAAAACATGTGTAACCCAAGTTCTCAGAGCCCTTCAAAGAAACAACCGATCCAAGCCCGAGGGTTCGACTCACAGATCATGTCCGCTGTCACATCGGTTTGAGTTCTCCAGACCCCGGGTAGAAAAAGGGGAGCCCCTTTTTGAGATGGGCCAATTTTCGAGGGGCCAAAACAAAACGGAAAACTCGTTTGGGGGGCAGAACACCCGGGTCATACCAAAAGGTGGGCATTATGGCAAAGGGGGCGTTCCCAAGATTCATGCAAATCAAAAGATCGGCCGCTATCTTCGAAACAAACCATCCCTTCACATTCCCAGTTGCCAGGCCGGCCACTCTTCACACTGCCACCGCAAGTGTTTGACGTCATTTCAACAACCTGTTCAAGGCTGACAGGTATAAAATCAGGGGAACTCTGCCAGGATGCTAGCAGGTTGGTTCCTTTCTGTTGGTTCCTTTCAACCACCATGGTTGGAAAACCATCTGAGTGGTGGCTTTGTTCCCTTTAATTTTTGAATGGAGCACCTTTTGTTGGCTTGCAGGAAAACCCATCTGCTTTCAAAGGGTCCTTTTGGGGCCTCAGCCGGTCAAGGGCCAATTTCTCAGCCCGGAACCTCCCTGAGACCTGTACGACTTCTCCCCCCTTTGGAACCTCCACATCGTAGACCAGGAGAAAGAGCCAGGCCAAATCCGCGGCGGATCCGCCCTGCCATGATCGCGGCTTCCTCAATGGCTGTGTCTCGTTTTTTAAGGGAAGCTGCGGCTTTTCATCTTGGCGCAAATTGCGTTGGCTGATGCTGAAGGCAAACCCTCCCGAAAAGGAAGACGTGGATGCTGGGGGCCGGAGCATGTTCGAAGTTTGTTGCAACTAAACACGTTTTTTTCAGGTCCCATGATTGAGATCCCTTCGGCTATCGCCCTGGTCAGCCGCTAAGAAGGGGCCACTCCAATTGCCGTGGCATGCTGGCGCAGAGCCGCGTTCCGTGCATGATGTGGGGGTCCCCTGGAAATGGCGCTTCCCTTTGGCCTCCCTTGCAATACCAACCAAGGGGCTCCGAATCCCAGCGTGAGAAACGCTCAGGTGCTCTTCTGCCAGCAACTTCCACAAATGCACGTCTCAGCACCGTCCACCAATACGAACTGGCTGGCGTGAGATCCTGGCATATTTCCACTGCTTCCTTTCTCCTTTTTCCAGATCCCAGAGAAGGTTGCCAAACCCTTCCCGCTGCTTTTCCTTCATGACCCTTAAAGTGTTCGCACATATTTAATCTGTAACACCAACCAAGCCCACACCTCCGCGTGCCATGGAAAAAGCCAAAGGGGCAGCCTCCTCGGGGTTTCCACAAGCCCCGCTCCCCAGCCATGGATCGGAGGTCAACCACTGGTGTGGCCAAAGAACGGGTGGCGAGCGCGCGAGCTTTAAATCACCTTGCCCTCAATCGGTGCTTTGGCGGGGATCTGAACCTCTGCCTCTTGAGGGAAATGGGAACCCCCTCCTTAACCACCAATCCAAACCACCAAATTGCAGTGGAAGAAAGCCTGGGGAAATTCTGAGCAGCACTGAGACACCCCGACCGCGGTCCCTCGAAGCGGCGCTTCCGCGAACCCGGCCTTCGACTCCACGCGCAGCTCCAGCTGCACCGCCGTGCCTAAGGCCACCTGCGAAGCCAAGTCCGCGACTCGAATCGCTTCGATTCGGTGCGATTGGATGGCCAGATGAACTTGCGATCCAAGGCGATAGGGAATGTGGTTCAATGAACTAGGCGACGGGCGGGGAATGTGGTATGAACCGGTTTGGAACTTCCCACGAAGACAGGACACCAGTTGGATGGTTTATCTCGGGGGGCATTCCATGGCTCATTCTCTGCTGAGCAGCAGCAAGTAAATGGTGCGTTTGGGTGTGTCTTATAACAGACCCCAAAAATGGGTGGTCTTCCTGCTGATTTCCCCAGGAACCCCCCATCGAATTTCCTGAAATGTGGTCATTTCCTCAACTGGCAAGACCCCTGGCTGTTCCCTCACGCCTAAAATCGGACCCAAGCAAGCAATGTCGGGGTCCCCGAGCTACACTCCACACATGGGTTCTCAAAATAGAAGTCGGTCCCCTGAAACGGCCTCTGGGTGTCCTTTGGGCTTCCCAAACTTGCTTGCTGCAACGACCCCCTGCAAAAAGTTTCTAACTTTTTGGGCGGTTTAGTGGAAAACCCCCTCCTTTCCCAAAAAGCTAAAGCCTAAAGATCCCACCCAACAGCAGCCAAGCAAAGGGATAGCAAAACTGGTGGTTTTCCTGGCTGCACTTTCTCGCCACGCCCATCTTGGGTCATGGGACATCCCCGGTTTCCGCTTCCCGGCGGTTAAAACCGCCGAAGCCTTCGGGCCCTATCCTTCGGGCCCTATCAAGACCAAGCCGCTACAAACTGCCGGATGGTCTTTCGATTCGGTTGATTTACCCTCCCACCGATTAACATGGAGCCTGACAGGGGGGGTCCTGGTTTGGGCTATGTTCCCTGTGGCGAGGCCCCCTGTCGGGTTCCATGTTGCTTGGTGGGAGCGCAAGTTGAGTCAACAAAATAACATCAGCAGCAATACCAGCATGCCTCCAGGAGAACATCGGACATGGTGACATGTGTCTCAATAAGCTAGTCTACAAGCCAAACCAGATCACTGCAAAAAGGTTCAAGAGGAATCTGGACAACTTTGAGATCAGGCCATTCAGTTCACGATGTCGCCCAAAAGGGAACACCTTGGCGGGAGAAGTACTTGAGAGG